AAAACTGATTCGACACAGAACAAAATGGAAGAAGCAAAGAGCGGAAAGTTACCTTCAGAAGACCTACCCATCCGGCAGTCACCAATCTTCCCATTTTTTATTTCCGCCATTTTCTTGGACCCCCGTCATCGAGCCCTGCTGCCTAACTCAGTCTCAGCCACCACAGCCACACTACCACTCGACGTTCGGTAGCGGCAACGTCAACAACAGTCCGTATTTTAACTCCAGTCAAATTTCATTTCATTCTGACCAAATGGATGTTGGAAGTGATGATGCTGACGATGAAAGCAACAGTGATTGATTGTTTGATTGATTGATTAACTGGTTGATTGATTGATTGATTAACTGGTTGATTGGTTGGTTGGTGGGTTGGTTGGTGGATTGGTTGGTCGATTAATTGGTTTTTTAGCTGGTTGGTTGGTTGGTTGGATGGTTGGTTGGTTGGTTGGTCGATTGATTTGTTGATTGACTATTTTGTTTGGGTGACTGATCTGCAATACAAAAACAGCAATGCATCTTTTATCATATTTTAAAATTTATGTTTGTTATGCACTGCTGAGATTTTTTTGCATATTCATTTTATTTGTTATCCTTTCTTCAAATATTTTCAACAAGTTTTATCATATTGTAAAGTTTAATTTGAAAAATAAAATTAATAAAAATAATAATTTGAGGATGATGATGCTTTACTGACCGGAGTGTGTCAGTATTCTACCTAAGCAAATGGAGTGAAGCAAGTATTTAAATGAAGTACAAAAACTTTTTTAATTGTTGGCCTCCTCATATTTAATTATAATGAAAAGTGAAAGCTAAAAGTGAAAAATGTTTTAAAACGAAACAAGTTCTGCGGTTTTTAAATTTGTAATTTTTAAACAAAATAAGTCAATTTAGCGTGAAAATAAAATTAAAGAAATTGAATTTTAAAAGCAATGAAAAAATAATTTGAAAAAGTAATTGCAAGTCATGTCTTCGTCTAACGTTCAGCTGCCTGGAATAGGGGTGTTCGGCACCGGAGTGACCGTCAGGTGCATCGTTCCCATTCTAAAAAGTTGTGGCTTCAAAGTGGAAGCGATTTGGGGACGAACTAAAGAGATAGCCGAGGAGTGTGCACGCGATTTGGATATAAAGTTTCACACCAACAAAGTAGACCAGGTACTTCTCCACAAAGATGTCGACTTAGTTTTCATCAATTGTCCTCCACTTTCGCAGTCCCCAATTGCCGTAAAAGCGCTAGGAATAGGTAAGCACGTGATATGCGGAATTCCTGCCGGACCCACGCAGATAGAATCACTAAGGATGGTGAATGGTGCCGATTACTACCCTTCGCTCATGTCAATCATGTGCAATGGTCTTCGCTTCCTACCCTGTTTTGCGAAGATGAAACAAGCAATAAATGATGGTTACGTTGGTACGGTGAACGTGTGTGAAGCTAGAGTTCACTGTCCCACTTTAATTAAAAGCAGTTACGACTGGTTATGCGATGAGAACATGGGTGGTGGTGTCTTGAACATGTATGGCAGTTCCTTCATCGACATCATCTCATTCCTCATCGACAAGAGATGCACAAAAGTTCAGGGTGTCGTTAAAACATTCACCAAACAGACCGACAAAATAAATGGCATTCGAGAAATCACCAGCGACGACTTCTGCAACTTCATGCTGGAGTTCCAAGATGGATGTTTTGCGACGATATGCATCAACAGCCATGCAAGCAATCACTACCAACAAGAATTGTATGTCTGTGGATCAAAAGGTCGCCTAATTGTTCGGGGGTCAGACCTTTTTGGGCAAAAGTTGGAGAGTTTGAAGGAGGAAACGATACACAGGGACGCCCCCGACAGTTTGGACCATCAGAAAACAGGGGTGATGGAGCAAATTATCGCAAGCATCCCCGTGCCACACATGAAAGGTACCCTCCACCAATCCACCAACCACTCATTCCATTATTATTTCCAAACCTACACACAAATTAATTTTTTCAGCCTTTTAATTTAACCATCAAACGAACAAACAAACATACAAACAAACAAACATACAAGCAAACAAACAAACAAACAAAAACAGGTTTATTCAAGTTAATTGACTCGGTGAAGGAAGCTTTTCGACTGGTAGAGGAGAAGCATGGATTTTCCAACGAGCCAGTCAAAATGGCCGCCACATTCGACGACGAACACTACGTCAGGGCAGTCATTGAGGGCGTTCGAATGTCGAGCCGCCGGCATGACTGGGTCAAGGTCGAATTAATGACGGAGGAGCCCCACCCATCACTCATGATGACTGATAACATGAAGAGGAATAAAAATAATTATTAAAATTTAAGTTTTTTTTTGCGGAAATTATGATATAAATAATAATAATAATAATGGTCATAATGTTGTAAATAATATTATAAATAATAATTAGAATTATAATCAAAAAAATTTTCTGGTTTATTCAAGTCTTAATAATTTTTTTAGACTCTAAATATTAATTATAATGGTAAAACTTGACAGATTTTAGCTTTTATTTATTTTGATATATTTATTATAGAATAATTTTAATTATACAAAATCGTTTTTAGGATAATATGTGTGTGTGTGTGTTTGTGTGTGTGTGTGTGTGTGCATGTGTGCGTGATGTTTATTACATATTAGATTAAATTTAATTTTTTACAAAAATTTTTTTTATTCCATTATGCCCTACTAAATAATCGTTATTCTACACAATGTATTTTACGAATGTGTAAGGTGGTTTTATCTTGGCTTTAATACAAAGTCAGTGATTTTTATATGTATAAATTGATTGAAACTTTCATTCGTTCATTCATTCGTTCTTTCGTTTGTTCATTTATTCATTAATTCATTTATTTTCCAATTCATTCATTCATTTTCCAAACTTTAATCCATTCGTTTATTCGTTTATTTATTCATTCTTTCAATCATTCGTTCATCTGTGTAATATTTTCGAACTGATTTTAGTTCATTTATAAATCAGTTATTATCGTTCATTCGTTCTTTCGTTCATCCATTTGTTCGTTCTTTCATTCATTCATTCATTCATTCATTTATTCATTCATTCATACATTCATAATTTTCACCATCATGGTTGTTTTAAATGCCTCATGTCTCCCATTATATCCTATACATTTTGTATATGCCCCTACTAGATTCTAAACTCTTATTTGTAACTATATTGTATATATATATATATATATATATATATATATAGATGTATGTATGTATATTATATATATAACATTTGCAGTTGAGATCCAGTGTCTATTTCATTGAGTTTTATTGTAATAAAAACCTTTTTGGAAAAGTCCATCATCACTGTTATATCGTTACATCCTAATGTGTACAGTCTTAAAAACAACTGATGCTAATCAAACCGGTTGGCTGTTGGATACACCATATTGTGCTTTTTATATAAACATAAAATAGTTTCTATACTAATGAATGAATGAATATTATTAATTATTTCTATATATATATTCTAGTCAAATGATGCTAATATATATATATATATATATATATATATATATATATATATATATATATATATAAATGTGTCAGTAAATTGTTCTTGTTTATATTAATAAACATGAACAATAATTAAAATTAAATAATTATAATGTTATATTATTTAATTTATAATTAATAAATTAAATAATTATAATGAAATTTTAATTAGAAAACTTGAAAAATTAATGTATAAATGTATAATATATATATATGTAATAATTGTATTAACGCGATTGATTTTCTTGAAAACTGTATATATATATATATATATATATCTTAAGGTATATTATTTTTATATATGATGAGATTTCCTCTGAGAGAATTCAAAATAATTTAGCACCACACCTAACTTAACAACAATTGTAAAATTTAAACGTGTAAATATATAACAATTTGAATATATATAACAACTAAATAACAACTAAATATATATTTATTTAGTTTTGTGTGCATATAATATTTGGTAAAATCAATTTGTTAGAGATGGAACAACGCACTGAATGCCTGACGAAAGATAGAATGTTCAAGTTTAAACCGTCTAGTTAACAACTACTGTTAAAATGACGTCATTTCCGCCGACGATTTCTCAACGAATTACCCATCCTATCTTAATAATTTTTATGTCATTGTTTTATGAAAGGAATACTTTATTAAACTCATAATGAAAATTTTTGTTACGTTAATAATTTAAAAAAAGTTATCAACTTACGAAACTCTCTGATTGGCTGATTTGATCTAACATTATAGCCAATCAAATCATCTATCATTTTTCTTATACATTTTAGTAGAATCGTCATCAGAACCGCAACGTTTTTGTAGAATCATTATCATTACTGGATCGCAAAGTAAACGGATAAAATATTTAAAAAATTCCTTAGTACTTCAATTAGTTAGGTCAGTAGTCACAATCGTCGTCATCTTTGATATCGCATAATGAGATGAACGCTAAGCAAGAAGTATTTTAAAGGTCAAGGTCGGCTACTTCCTTTGGTATGTTGTTAGTTGATGATAGTTATCTATGTGCCTATGTATGCGCGTATGTCTGTACCTATGTACGTGTGAGTGTATGTGCGTGTGAATGTATGTGCGTGTGCGTGTGAATGTATGTGCGTGTAAGTATGAGTAACCTAGGTAGGCAGGTGCAAGTATACGAACTCGTTGCATAAGTATTATTACTGCATTGTTACTGATTTTTTTTTATTACAACTCTTGTTATTTGTTAAATTCATTATTATTGTTGTCAGTTTTTTAAAATTCATCGAAGTCACGTGAATACAGGTCTGAAATAAAATCCAAAATAAGGTATATAGAATGGTGTCAAATTAAAATCAAAAATAATAATAAATTGATTAAATAACGATTTTAAATCATTTGAATTCAGACGACTAACACAGATATGTATATATATATATATATATTGTTTAATTTCAATTTTTCTAACGTTAGATCGTAAATCGTTTCCATTTATTTTAGGCATGATAGGACATTTAAACAATGTAGAACAAAAAAGCTTTTTTCGGCTTTCCTATACCATCCTCGGTGTTCGAATTGATACGTTGTGTGTGTGGCCAGATGCTCAAGTATATATTTATACTGTGTCTCTACTTTGTTGATTCCTTGTTGCTTCAATGTGAATACTTAACGATCATTCAATTAGTTTTTCAATCTTCAACTTTGTGCGATATGATACTTTTACGTGTTTTCATTATCGATGATTCTTTCCTCTGTTTCTAAATTTCTCAGTGGGAAGGATTGCAATTGCCCGTTGTTGGTTGTTTATTATCGGATGTCTTTTTTCTGTGAGTATTGATTCGGCTAGTCGTAAATTCGTAAATTACAATGGTTGTTCATTGTGATGTGAGATTTCAACACTGTGGTCCAAGATTTGTCTAGTAGTTCAAAACTAAAATTAATTACTAGGCAAATCTCGGGCAGCAATGTTGGAATCTCGCATTACAACAACAACCATAGTTTTGAACTAAAATTGTAATTAGAAATACAGTACATACTTGAGCATACAAAGGATTAACATTGTAGAGATACGGTATATACATACTTGAGCATCTGGCCACATACAAAACGTATTCGAACACCGAAGATGGTATAGGAATGCCGAAAAAAGCTTTTCTGTTTAGAAATATGGAGTAGTAGATCCAAAAAATTTCAAATAAGATACACGCACAAACATATCTATGCTAGATATTTTAAAAGAAAATATTAAAATGGATACATTTATGCGATAAGATTATGATAACTCTAAAAAATAGTTAAATATTATTTATTAATTCTTTTTTAGTTTATTAAAAATTAGATTATTAATTTCTTAATAATTTAAATTAATTTTAAACCATTGGAAAAATGATCTAATTGTGATTGAAAATTGACGCGAATAAGCACCATTATAGAATTTTTTATACACATGCAAAACTTTGTATGTATGTATTTTTGTATATGTTTGTAAGTGTATTTATGTTTGTATGTATGTATGTATGTATGTATGTATGTATGTATGTATGTATGTATGTATGTATGTATGTATGTATGTATGTATGTATGTATGTACGTACGTATGTATGTATGTATGTAAGTATATATGTATGTATGTATGTGCCCGTGTGTGTGTGTGTATGTAAGTTTTCGACGAAAAGAAGTTATATATGTTTTTAATACAAAAACAGAAGAAAAATCAAGTGACACACATGGTTGGAAAATAATAATGATAAAAATAAAAATAATAATTATTATTATTAATGAATGTTGTTATTGTTAATATTCTTATTCTTTACATTTATTATTATGGAAATATTTGTACAACTCATCAGTTACCTAGAATAAATACAACACACTCGCACACACACACACATACACACATTTACACACACATGCATATATATATATATATATATATATATATATATATATATATATATATATATATATATATATATATATATGATACATATATATATAAATATGTATGTGTGTGTGTTTGTACCCGTATGTGTGTGTGTGCGTGTGTCAATCAAAGATATTAAATAGAACAAGATATACAACGAAAATATATGACGTCTTTGATAATACTCGGTTAAAAAAAATCATGTAATACTAGTGCTATCATGGATTTTAGTATTGTTATAATTAGAAGTAGTTGTATCCTTAGTGGTAGTTGTAGCTGTAGTAGTATCAGCCATATTTGTGGTAGAAGTGGTAAAAGTACTTGAAGAAAGAGTTGTAGTAATAGTAGAATTAGTAGTAAAGTAGTATATATAAAAATACTATTACTACAACTATTGCTGTAGTAGTGGTAGTAGTAGTAGTAGTAGTGGTAGTAGTAGTAGTAATAGTAGTAGTAATAGTAGTAGTAGTAGTAGTAGTAGTAGTAGTAGTAGTAGTAGTAGTAGTAGTAGTAGTATAGTTGATGCTGGTAATATTGAAAAATAATTAATTTATGAACGATTTGAACGAAAACTAAATGATGAAAAAACACAAGATAAAGTAAGACATGAATAAACAAAAATAAATGAATGAATGCATTAATTAATTAATTAATTAATTAATAATAAATAACATCGATAAACTAATGAGAAAAACAGTTATGAAGATAAATCAATTTATCAGCAGTCATATCATCGCTATCTTATAACATTGTATTCTATAACAAAAAAAGCCAGTAATGATCAATCAAACATTTAATCAATCAATTAATCAATCAATTGATCGACCGACCGACCGATCAATCAATCATTTAATCAATCAATCAACCAATCAATCAATTAATCTATCGATCAATCAATCAACCAATCAATCAACGTCTATCAATCTAATTAAAAACTCGACTCCTTTAACTTATAAGTTTTCTTCACAGAACCCATGCGGAAGAAGGCAACGTAGAAAAGGAAGAGAATGTAATGGAATCAATCAGTGAGAAAGTTCTTGGGAGATTTCTGCCTTTTCGCCACCAACCAAATCAATCAATCACACACTCATCAACGAACTAGTTAATTAAATCTACCACTCAACTTATTCAATTAACTAACCAATTAAATCAACTACCCAGCCAGCTAACTTACCAAACCAACCGCCCAACTTATTCAACCGACCAATCAAATCAACTCATTCAACCAGCCAATCAAATCAACTTACTCAACCAGCTAACCAATCAAATCAACCGCCGAACTACTTCGACTTTGTTTTCCTTCTGGAACCCCAGGCGGAAGTGGGTGCAGAGGAAAAGGAAGAGAACGTAGTAGAAGCGGTCAGAAACTTCTTAGCCTCCTCTTCGTCAAACAGCTTCCCGAATGTGAGGCTGGGATCGCGGCGCCAGTAGTTGAAAGTGCTGTACTCTGTGTCCACGGCCACAGATGGGAATAACTGATCCACTATGTCGCTTAGTTTGGAGTATCTATGAGTGTGTGTAAAACATTGACAAAAGACTAAATCTATCAATCAATCTTCGTTTTGCGTCCAGAGACCCGGTTTCCCGAGGTAGGACGTTGACAAAAGACTTAATAACAAAGAAAAATATAACGACAAATACCAAACAGAATATATAACCTAACAAATACAATCACTAACGAAGAGGTAAAGGTAGACTTCTCAACCCTCAACTTGCCTGTGTGATCGACGATGAATATGCGAGACTTTGGCACCCCGATCGTCGTGTAAGCCCACACGTCCTAAGTATTCATTAATATTCATGGGTGTTCATTAATATTCATGAGTATTTATTAATATTCATGAGTACTTGATATTATTCATGAGTATTTGTTAACAATCGTGAATGTTTATTAGTATTCATGATTATTTATTATTATTCATAAGTATTTATTAATATTCATGAGTATTTGTTAGTATTGATAAGTATTCGTTAATATACATGAATATTCGTTAATATTCTTGAGTATTCTGTAATATTCATGAGTATTTGTTAACATTCATGAGTATTCGTTAATATTCATGAGTATAACAATAATAACGGTCCCAACATTGTAATAATAATAATAACAATAATAATAATAACATTGATCCGGTTTCCGAAACCGGCCGTGAATGGATTGGTGGAAGTCTGTGGGAAGAGCTGTCTGATGTTCCTCAGGCAGTGGATCTTGAACTCCTCTGGTTTGCGTTCTATTACCTCTCTATAGTTGTCGTTGTAGGCATCATTATTTTCTTCACCATTCCATACAATCAACCAACCAAATGACCAATCAATCAAATGATCAATCGATCAATCGATCAATCGATCAATCGATCAATCGATCAATCAATCAATCAATCAATCAATCAATCAATCAATCAATCAATCAATCAATCAATCAATCAATCAATCAATCAATCAATCAACCAATCAATCAATCAATCAACCAATCAGCCGATCAATCGATCAGTTAACGAATGAATGAACAAACTTATGAAAAGCACTCCTAAGTGATGACGGTGACAAGAGGAGGGGCCCTACGGGCAGATTGTAATCTCCCTGTCGGACACCCTTCAAATATTCTCTTGTGTAATGGGACTGCCCTATGGCCCGAGCCGACAGGTACATGAACTTGTACCCGTTTTGGTGGATCAAGGTGTAGAGATTGGCAATTCCTACCTGGATTGATTGGTTAATTGATTAATTAATTATTTGAATGAATGAACGAATGAACAAATGAACGAATGAATGGATGAATGAATGAATGAATGAATGAATGAATGAATGAATGAATGAATGAATGAATGAATGAATGAATGAATGTTTAAACTAATTTTTATCCTAATCCTTATAAAAAAAACAGCAGGATCTACAAATGGATCTAACTTTTGAAACATAAAATCAACTTTGAAACGTGAAGATATGTTGATGGGAGAAGCTTAACGTCGAATTTCCAACCAATAGGAAAACATTATTTCAATTTTCAATAAATTACCTGCGACCAATCAGTGGCGACTGTCGGTAAGAGGTTGCTTATGATTGGCAAAACTTGACCCAATACATCTGACCTGATTATGCAATTAAACAATTAAGAGAGTTATTAATTACCGTTAATAAAATATTACAAATGCAACCCCGCACACGCACACACACACACACACACACACAAGCAAACAAGCAAACCCACACATACATAATATAATTCATTTTTATTTTAAACAAGCTAACGCACGCATCTATTTTCTACTTTAAAATAATTCTTCATAAAACTTTTTGTCAAAAATAGAGGAAAAAAAACCCAGAGACTTGGTGATCGTTCCGTCAATATCTGAGACAACTATCTTATCATTCCAATCCCAAAGGAAGATGGAGCAGGTGCATTTGGTGGTACCCTGGTACTTTGTGGTTATCGAGAACACCGCATCGTTCAGTCCATCCTTCAGGTTCAACTTCCTCTGTTGTGTGCGTGTGTGTGTGTTTGTGTTTGTGTGTGTTTGTGTGTGCGTATGTATGTGTGAGAAAATAAAAAGAGAGAAAAAGGAGAAATAAAGAGATATTTATAAATATTCATTTGGCGTGCAGTCCGCCTTCTAAATTTTTAATTTCAACATTTTTACAGCCAGTAGTCTAAATGAAAATGTGCGTGCGTGCGCGTGTGTGTGAGTTTGTTTCTGGGTACGTGTGTGTATGTGAATAAAAGTGTTTTTGAGCGGTGCACACATGGTGATAGAAAACAGAAAGAGAAAAAGAAAGAAAAACTGAGAAAGAGAAAGGGAGAGAAAGAAAGGGAGAGAGAGGGAGGGAAAGAGGGAGGGAGAGAAAGACATTTAGTGTTAATTTTTTTCACTTACTCCTTACAAATTAATTCAAATCGACAGACGTGTCAGCTGAAGTGCTTGGCAAACAAGCAAACACACGAATTCATATTTATTTATATCTAAATATCAAAATGAATTCAATTATGCCAAACATCATTATGGTTGTATATAATATCAACAGCAATAACAACAACAATAATAATAATAATAATATGATAATAATATAATAATAATAATAATAATAATCATAATTACAATTTGATCAGAAGTGATCTTGAGCGATTTGAAGTACTTTTGCTGGCAGCTGGTACCGTTGACTGTTGGTGCTGCTGCTGTTGCTGTTGTTGTACTCTTGTCTGCTGTCGAGGCGGTCAAACTGAAACAAAATAAAATAATGTAGGTCGAGATGAGAGAGAGAGAGAGAGAGAGAGAGAGAGAGAGAGAGAGAGAGAGAGAGAGAAAGTAAAAGATAGAAAGAGAGAAAGTAAAAGAGAGAAAGAGAGATGAAGAGAATCGACTGATTCACTGATAAAGTTAAACTGAAAAAATAAATTATATGAGTGTCAATAACAAAGTAAAGAGGGAGAGAGAGAGAGAGAGAGAGAGAGAGAGAGTGAGTGAGTGAGTAAGAGAGAACATGAAAGAAAGTCAGAAAGAGAAAAAAAGAGTAAGAGAGTAAGACAGAGAGAGATAAAGAGAGAGTGAGAAAGAAAGAGAGAGAGAGAGAGAGATAGTCAGTTGATTGGTGCAAACTGGGAAAAATTAAATATTTAATGTAAAAGAGTAAAAAAGAACAAGAGACCAAAAAAATAAGTCAAAAAAATGAAATATGGGGGAGAGAAAGGGGGGGAGAAGCACGAGGTGATGGAAAGAAAAAGATGGGAGAAAGAGAGAAAAGAGAGAAAAAAAGAGAGAGAGAGAGAAAGAAATTTGAAAAAAAATATAGGTACCCACCCGCTTCCAAGTGTGCCCTCCATATTAACAACCACATGAGCGCCATCTTTCACTAATTCTGGATTCCGAGACGACGACGACGATGTGGGAGGGAGTGTGGGGGCCGGAGGGGGTGACGATTCCTGGGCAGAGTGAGGAGATTTTTCCTTATTTCCACCCCACCACCCACCTAACCACCCACGCCGTTCTTTCTTCGACATGTAAGTCTTAATGAGGAGATCTTTGGCCGACTGTCACGGTGGTAATAATAAAAATAATAACTACAACAGCAATATTAATAATAATTATAACAACAATAATTATAATTATAACAACAATAATTATAATTATAATTATGGAGGAAATCGAAAATATAATTCCCTACATCAGCTAGGGGCTGATTGAAGAGGAGGATTGACATGATCATGGGGGCTGCGACCGCCCACTTGAAATATCTGATGAACGGATGGATGGACGGATGAGTAAATGAATAAAAGGATGGATGAACGATTGAATGAATAGACGGATGGATGAATGAATGAATGAAGAAACGAACGAATAAAGTAGCTAACTTTCCATCTAGCTTAACGACAAGGTTAGGATTGTTTAGCAAATTTGGATTGGCAGACAGCGCCTCATGGGTCACCAACTCCTTCTCAAACCTCTCACACGCCATCTCATCGAGCCCCCCACCACATAGCGACAACTTTATTTCACCGAAATGTGATGATGAGGACGATGATGACGACTGAGTCTGTTGTGATGGTGGCTGTGGTGGTAGTTGAGTTTGCGACAACGGAAGAGGCGGTTGTAGATCCTGGAGGGTTGATAGTCTTCTGGAACTGTTTGTTACATGGTTAATAAGGCGATGCTGTAGTCACGAGTGCTAGCGGTACATTATCGCGAATGTTGGTCGGAGAGTTAGCTCAGTCGGTAGAAGTGCCATGTTCCGGGTTAGTATTGCACGATGGCCTGGTTCGAATACTGTCTGTTCGAAACTCAAGATTATTATACGATACGCGTGTATGATGGTGTGCTTGTACATCGTGTCGTGTGGATGTGTGTGTCTACGTCGTGTGGCGTGTGTGGTATTGGTCGTGTAGATAGGACAGCCTTTGTGGCACGAAAGTTTAACTATAGCTCTAGAATGACATTTAAGCAATTCCGCGCTAGACAGAGGTGCATAAAAAAAAGACAAAGGTAAAGCAACATTATCAATCACATCAGCAACATCTCCAACAACAATAACCTCAACGATGACGACAACAGCAATAACCTCAATAACGACAACAACAACCTCAACAACAACAACAACAACATAACAACAACAACAACAACAAACTTCAAATACTCTTCCTCATTATCAGCTGAGCAGGACTTGGCCCTCACTCTCATCCTCACGACATCCTCCTTGGAAAACGAAACCGGAGAATCCGGAAGTGACGATGGCGACTGAAAATTTGGGAATCCTCCGGAAACAGTTTCACTTTCACCTCTGGTGTTGTTGTTGTCGACGGTTAGATGGTTTTGGCTTTGCTGTTGTTGCTGGTGGTGTTGGTGTTGGTACAACGTCTTTGAGCTGACGAAAAGAGAAAACTAATTACTATTATTATTATTGTTTTTGTTATAATTATTATTATCAACATTAATAACAACTACAACAACAACAACAACAACACTAACTTATTATAAAGGTAAAGATTAACAAGCTCGGGATCTTCAGAGTCCAGGTCTTCCAAATATATGCCGACCTGTGTTTTATCTTTGTTCCTATTACTCTTCAATTTGTTGTTGTTGCTCGTATCTTTGCTGCAGCTGTTGTTTGTTTTCGATTTCGTGTCGTTGCTGCTGTTGTTGCTCCTGCTACCGCTACTACCAGCTACAATACTACCGTTACTACTACTGATAGCGGTAGTATAACTGACTGTGATGTTGTTGTCCTGAGCTGTTTGTTTGTTTGTTTGTCGTTGCTGCTGTAGTTGTGAGAATGATTTATGTTAGTTCGTTTGTAATGCGGTTGCATTATTATGGAGATGTTATTTGTCTGTTTAATCAATCAATTAATCAATCAGTCAATCAATCAATCAATCAATCAAACAATCAATCAACCAATCAATCAATCAACCAATCAATCAACCAATCAATCAACCAATCAATCAAACAATCAATCGATTAACTAATTTCTGAAGCGCACTTTCTGGAATGTTCAACAGCGCTGCTGAGAAAATTTTCGAACAGATGTCGAATGCAAAACTAAACTATACTGAACTTCGTGAGCTGTGAAGAAGTGGTCAGAGAAGGAGGTAGAGAGTTCCAGAGAGAAAGGACCAGAAAAAGCGAACGCAGATTTAGCAAAGGAGTGTCTAGCAGGGTTTGTCGTTGCCAGTTTTGTATTTCCGTTTTTGATGAATTGATGGATTGTGCTAATTTTTGCTATTTCTATGTCCTATTTGTGCCATTATTTTGTTGTGGTTGTTGTTGTTGTAGTTGTTGATGCGGTTGTTGTTGTTGTGGTTGTTGTTGTGGTTTTAGTTGTTGTTGTTATGATTGTTGTTTGTGATGTTTATGGTTTCATTTTCTTCTTCACAAAGAAAAAAGTTTTGCATATGTTAAAGGGGAATATTGATTTATTATACCACGTGCTGATTTGTTAATGAGTAGCCAACAAATGGGTGAATAAATGAAGGAATGGATGAATGAATGAATGAATGGATGAATGAATGAATGAACGGATGAACAAACAAAAGAACGAATAAATGATTAAACGATATGATTGGACCAACCACATGGATGAATGAATGAACGAATGGATGGATGAATGAGTGAATGAATGAATGGATGGATGAATGAATGAATGAATGAATGAATGAATGAATGAACGGATGAACAAACAAAAGAACGAATAAATGATTAAACGATATGATTGGACCAACCACAGAAGTAGTTCAAAAGTTGAAAATGAACTCTGATCAGAATTAAACGTTTACAAGATTATTCAGTTTGAAATAACAAAAACAAGGCAAATAACAATTCAATTACATCATTCTTTCATTCATTCATTCATTCAATCATTCGTTCATTCGTTCGTTAGTTCGTTCATTCATTCGTTCATCTATTCATTCTTTCATTTATTCATTTAATCATTTAATCATTCATTCATTAATTCATACACATCATTACTATTCATACTTTGTTGTTGTTGTTGTTGCTCCTGCTGTTGAAGCAGCTGCTGCTGCTGCTGATAATGTTGTTGCTGAAGATGTGACCCAGTTTCAGGTAGCTGACCCCATTTCCAGTCGACGTCATCGATGTCGCCAGCTGCTGTGAGTAGCTGCTGTAGGGGCTTCGTTGTGGCTGCTGCAGCTGGTGCGGTGAGGCTATTTGAGGATTGGGCCATTGGGCTGAGGTATTCGTTTGGAAGGGAGCCTACGATGCTGATGATGATGATGTTGGTGACGGTGTTGATGATGATGTTTGTTTTTTAACTGAATATGAATGTGTTTGTAAGAAAGTGATTCTCAATTCCCCAAATGCTACACAAACAGGGTTCGAACGCAACGAGATCCTCTACTTATCATGTAAAAAATGTTTCTAGTAATTTATACCGAAATTTAACACAAAGAATGACAAATTATTATTATTATTATAATTGTTAATATAAATAGGAAAGAATGGAAAATTTATTGTTATTATTATTAATAATTAATACAGTTAATATTATTAATAATATTTATTGTTATTATTTATGATTGATTGATTGATTTATAATTATTAATTTCAAATATTATTTCGGTTTCTACTACCATTTAAGTTCCTCTTCAACGAGTTCAGAGGGTTGCAGGTTGTTGAGTTGCAGGTCGGTCTCAACAGCAGTAATGTTGCAGATGTCTGGCCAACTGTTGCATCTCAACAGTGAGAGGTTTGGTAGTGTTGGGTTTTCATTCAACTCGATGGCGACATCGTTCATTGGAAATTGTCGATGTTGCTGTTGTTCATTTGTTGTGGTTGTTGTTGTTGATGTTGTTGTTGTTGTGGTGGTAGTGGTTGTTGATTGTTGTTTCTCTTCCAATTCAAGTTCGAACATGATATCATCTGAACTGCGTGCTTTTGTTAATGTCGTTGTTGCAATTGCTAATGTTGTTGTTGTTGTTGTTGATGATGATGGTGTTTCGTTGTAATTTTTATCAACACTATCAATTTGTTGTTGTTGTTGTGGCGGCTGCTGTGGCGTGTTTTGTGCCTGCAGTAGGTCGTAGTTGTTGCTGTTGTTGTTGTTTTGTAATGGCATGCCTTTATCCACTGATGTGGTGGCATTATCTACTGCGTTGCTGTTCATCTTGTTGTTGTTGTTGTTGATCAGCTTGGAAAGACAAATTTAAACTTTTAATGTTTTATTTTTTAATAAAAGAAATATATAAAATAAAGAAACTCTGATAAGGTCAAGCAAGCTATGCTTCTACTGCTTTTTAAAGTTATAACTGAAAATACATCATATACTCATAAAAATTACAATTACATAAACCGATAAAAATTACAAAATTTACAAAGAATAAAAAATGATTTAAAATAATAGTAAGAAAAAACTATCTATGCTAAAAGTGAACTTACCTCAGAGGCCACACTGATATCATGGAGGAAGAATGCCTCTCCAGCCACTCCTAATTTCATTGTCATGTCCACCGACTTCCCATTTATTTCAATGTCAACCTTGAAAAACATGTAAAAAACACTTCAATCAAGTATATATATATAAATATACATATATATATATTTAATATTAAAATCAAAATCATTAATTTTTATAATTCATTTTATTATTTATCATCTTAGTAATACACAATCTTGATCAGAACTTACTTTTACTGAGTTTTCATTGACCCAGAAACATCCCATTTTGCCGAATCTAACATGCCATGGAGAGGTCTGAAACGTGCCATCCTCCTGTCTTATTATGATGACATCAATTGCCCCAGTTAAAGTGGCAGGGTTCATTTCAGTCAGGTAGCCACTGATGTTTTTGAAAAGCTTGCCAGCCAAACCCCAAGATGGCATTTTTACGTTTTAATGAGTAAATTGATCAATTTATTTTAAAAAAATTTCTGAGTTTGAGAGTTTTTTTTATAAAACTTTAAATTAAAGAAAGGTAGACAATGCAACAGACAACCTTCTACTTTTCAAACTAACTAAAGTCATGAAAGTTTAAAGCTTAAACGTTTTCCTATAGAAAATATTTTTTATATCAAAAATTGGCTAAACGTTAAACGCGAGCAAATGTTTTAAAATAATATTTATTATTAATAATCAATTTTATTTAATTAATCAAACAAATTCAGCTGATTATCTCAAGACCATATCATATGCTTAAAAGTTATGCTGTCATTTTAAAACTATTTTTGACATAATAATAAATTTAATCAAATATTCAAAATTTTTCAAAAATTTGCATTTTTATTTATTTATAAAAATTAAAAAGTTTTTTTCAAATAAAGAGTTTTAAAAACTTTTTTCTGCTGCTTCAGTTTCATTGTTTCGATCGACTTGAACACTGGTGGGCGATAATAAATTAGAGAAAAAAGTTGAGTCTTGGTAAACTTCGCGATTAGTGACACTAACAAATAGATTTTAATGGATAATCGTATTTTTTTCATTTAAGTAATTTTGTCGAATGTGAAACTAATTTTTTTAATTATTTTAACGGCGCATTGATTATTGGTTTTTTAATTTTAAGCCACAAAATAACAAGTTGTTTTTGTTTAAGTCTTAAACAAAAATTCTTAAACTTTAAGAATTTTTTTTATTTAATCAATAAAAATATTAAGTTTAGTGAACAACAGAACCCAAAATTTAAACATGTTGTCGTTTGTGTTGATTTGTGAAATCTTCCTTTTTATGGTGATGATGAACAGAAGTGGGGAAGGCCAAGTTTTCAACTCTCAGTTTGGCAAATCTTCAAATTTCAAAATTTCCAGTTTTCGTCCAGATGAAGACCACCGCCCGGCGTGCGAGCCAATCAGGATCGACGTTTGCAAAGACATGGCCTACAATCTGACGATGATGCCCAACATTTTCAAGCATCAAACTCAGAAAGATGCCCAAGAGGAAGTGAGCACGTTCAGCTCACTAATCACATTCAACTGCAGCCCTTACTTGAAGATCTTCATCTGCACCCTCTACGCCCCAATATGCACTGATCTGGACAGTATACTGACACCATGTAGGTCTCTCTGTGAAGAAGTCAGGCAGTCCTGTGAGAAGAATATGAATCTGTTCAATTATCAGTGGCCGCCATCATGGAATTGTGCTCAATTCAACAAGCCTACCTGCGTGGGAGAGAACAAAACCCAGCTATTAAAAGACCTCGACAAACGACAACCTAACACAAAGATAAAAAACAATGGCCACACAAATGCGCTAGATAGAAATGGTGACAAAAAGTTAATGCCTTTACAATGCCTTCCAAAAATGAAAGTGCCTAAAAATTATCAATACAGCATTAAAATTAGCAATAATAAAATTAAAGATTGCGGTATGCCATGTTCCTTTGATGGTGATTCATTTTTTGATGCGAGCAAGAAAGCTTTTGCATGGTACATGGTGGGGACAGCTTCCATCATCTGCCTGATTTCAACACTCTTCACACTGATTACATTTTTGGTAGATATGGATAGATTTCCCTACCCAGAAAGACCCATCATTTTTCTCTCCGGATGTTACCTAGCGGTCTCCATCTCATTCATCATCGGTTTCGCCACTGGAAATAATGTTGCCTGTGTTGGGCCGTTTTCATCTGAAGAGTCAAGTCTAGATTATGCACAAGCATCAAAAGTTGTCATCCAAGGAAAAGATAAAGAACTATGCACAGTTGTCTTTGTGATCCTCTACTACTTCAGCATGGCCAGCTGCTTGTGGTGGGTCATCCTGACCATCACCTGGTTTCTGTCGGCCAGTCTGAAGTGGGGTCAGGAGGCCCTCAATAAAAATTCTCATTACTTCCATTTGATTGCCTGGTCACTACCGGCCGTTCAGGTTATTGCCATTTTAGCCCTGGATAAAATAGAGGGAGATAACTTGGTTGGTGTCTGTTACGTGGGGGTCTACGATGAGAAGGCACTGGTCATCTTTGTCATCGTACCGTTGGTCGTGTACCTGTTGGTTGGTATCTTCTTCCTGATGGCTGGTTTGTTCTCGCTGTTCAAAATACGAACTGCCATGAAGCAGGAGGGTTTTGGTACTGAAAAGTTGGAGAAGCTGATGCTGCGTATTGGGGTGTTCAGTCTGTTGTACACAGTACCAGCTGGTGTGGTGGTAGCCTGCCATATTTATGAACTAACCCTGAGATCTGATTGGTTGATGGCCTGGTACACGAAGACATGTTACAAATACAACTACCTCTCTTGCCCTGTACTTTCGTTTCGAAAGCAATACGACGGTGATGCTAAAAACTCGTTGATCACTGCTAACTACATGCCTAACGAATTCGGTGGACAGCACCTTCAAGATCTTCAAAGATTAAATGCGGATTTAAGTTTCAACAACGAGGGGAACACTTTCCAGAACATCTTCTACCTGCCAAGTCCTGATTTTACGATATTCATGATCAAGTACATGATGATGTTGCTCGTAGGCATCTGCTCTGGGTTTTGGGTCTGGTCGGGGAAGACGTTTCTATCGATTCGTAGAAAATTATGCTGCTGCTGTTCTAGTGTCTTTGGTGAAGCGGACGATGATGACGTGAAGAAAAACTCTCCACCGAACGTTCCACCATGCAGAAATAACTTCTACACTGGAGTTAATGGTGGAAATGAACAATTTCAACAGTCCCATGGCACTGGTGTTGGTGGGGGTGGTTCCAAAGTTTAAAATAATTTATTTTCATCGAACATATTCGATTTTTATTAGTCATAAAAAATGTATTATTATTCTTTTTCATATAATATTCAGTATTTATTTTAACGTCTAGTTTTGTGTTTCTATTTCTGTCTTTATTTTATTCCTGGACAGTTTAATAAATAATAATCTAAATTATTTCTTGATGGCATGTCTTTATATATTATTTTTCTAAATACCTTTTGCCAGTAAGCACGCACATGTGTGAGTGTGTGTGTGTGTGTTTGTGTTTGTACATGTATGTTCATGTGTGTGTTTGTACATGTATGTTCATTTCTATGCGTATCTATGTTATTTTATTTGTGTGCAAATGTGTTATGTTTTCACAATTATTTGTATGTATATATGTTTGATGTGTGTTTTTTCATATATGTGAGTATATATGTATTTGCATAGGTTTATCTATGACGGTATTCATGTATTGTGTGTGTGTGTGTGCGTGCGTGCCTATTACTCTATGACATTTTCAGCGTTTGCTAATCATTTTCTTACATGCAATTTGTTTCTTTGAGTCTTCCTCCTCATGTATTATCAACAATTTAAAGATACATTATTATATAAATAAATATATATATATATATATACATTATTATTCATTTATTAGTTTTAACGTAATACTGATAATTTAATATTTATTTGCATATAATTTACTCATTTTACTCAATAATAAAATCACCTGTCCGTCGTTTATTAACTTTTCATTTATACAGTTTCTTTAAAATTATGATGCTATGTTATCGCATTGATTTTTTCGTATTGAATCGTTTACGTATTTTATGTTTTACCTGTAAACTTTGCTTTGCTTAATCGCGTTTTTGAGGTCTGGTGGTTATATTTTAACTTGTATATGTGTGTATATGTTTGTGTGTGTGTGTGTGTGTGTTTTTGTGTACTCATTTCTTAATTGATTTTTTTAAATTTTAATATATGTCGTCTTGGAAATTTTTATTATTTATTGAAAATTTATTTTGTCCTTGCATGCTATGTTTGTTTGTTTGTGTTTGTTAGCGCCCGTGTCTGCGTGCGTGTCGGTGTGCGTGTGTGTTCGTGTGTGTACTTGTCCAATGTTACGCTATCTTCTTATTTGTCGTTTTCATGTTTCGGAAACCAAGGTACAAAATTTTTAATTATCACTTTTTAATTCTCTCTTCTATATATTTACATTTCATTTCTCTATATAATTTTGTTGTAACATTTTATTTTATTTTGTTTCATCACGCATTTTATCGTGTGCGTGTGTGTTTGTGTGTGTGTGTGTGTGTGTGTGTGTGTGTGTGTGTGTGTGTGTGTGTGTGTGTGTGAGTGTGTGTGAATGCATGTCTATGTTTTTCAACTTTGAATATTTTTGAAGCATAATGGTTAATACTATTTTCTTTTTCAATTGAATCTGACGATTGTTTCTCTGTTGTTTTTTTTCAACTTAACGAATTAACCCAATCTTAATTTATTAATTTCGTTATATTACTCTTAGCCTGAATAAAAATCATTTCGGCTGGCAACTTCTTCAAACTATTTTTTTGAGATTTGAGATTACCTGCGTAATGCTTTTATTTTTGGCGTTATTTCAATAAGAATATTTCAGTAGTAACTGTCATTTCTTTGACGTATCAAAGCTATTTTGTTTTAAACTTTTTATTATTATCGATTCTCTTTGCATGATATGTGTACGTTCTTAAATGTTTCATAATGGAAGATATTTTATATCAACAAATCTACATCAATCGTGTTTCTCTTTCTGTGCAACACAATAAGTAGATAAACTAATTATAGCGAGAACGTGTCAGATGTTACACACGGTAGTTTCCTGTGTGTAGCTCGAAACCTGGTATATTCATAAGACCAATTTTAAAAACACAAAAACAATAAAAAGTCTAACATAGGAAAGAAGAAAAGTTTGTCTATATACACACACATCGTTTTAGAATTGGAATCCCTTAGCAGAATTTGTTGATCCGTTAGAAACTTGGTTGGGATAGGAAGTAGATCCTCTGTTCAATCTATCTGATACACTGTTTCTGCCTGAAAATCCGTGGTGGGGTCTGTATAGTGGTGGCTTTTTCGACTGGCTGTCATTCGCTCTCCTACTCTTCCTCTTCTGATCGTGGTAGAAATTAGCGTTCTTGTATGGTATTTTGCCGGCGAACACCGATTCATTCGGTGGATTTGCAAATGTTTTTCGTGCTATCGTCATTTTTTGTCTCATTGTCATCAGGGCCATTCTTGTCTTTGGATCTTTAACAGCTTGATTCAATCCGCGATGTGTTTTCAAGTTATTTATGAAATCCTCGTCGTTGTAACCTCTGCCGTTAGATTCAAGCTCTCCTAACCTTTTCAGAAATACTCCGGTAATTGTATTTTTTGTAGCCGCCATTTTTGCTGCTTTTGCCAGTGACCTTGGTACGTTTGGTTTTCTGATTTCGTCGTCGTATTCTTCTTCATCAAGGTTGTAAATGTCTTCGCTCAAATAATCAGGTTCTTCCAAGGTTCCCAATTGTTTTGCCGTCTCAACCATTGCTTGAGGAGTTGCCATTGAATCTTCTTTTTTGAAGAAGTTCAGCTTGGTAGTTGACATGATGTGCAGGAATGTGTTGAATCTGTGTATGATCATCGCCAACACTTGCACTATTAAACAGCTCCCGAATATAAGTAAGAATATAAAACCCAACGGATCCACTTTGGATGTGGAGGAATTATATGAGAGGTCTACTTTTCCTGGTTGTACCTTTGTTGGACACGGCCAAGGGATGTAGACAATTTTGACGTTAAATTGCAAAACAAATGCAGTCAGTACAAAAGCCGTGTTGGCAAATAAGAATCCAAGAGAAACCTTGATGTTTAAACGTAGGTAATATTTGTTGTTAGAATATCATTTTTTATAACCTTGGTTTGAAATAATTGTCAATAGTTACTTACTTTATTTCTGAGCTCTTTCAATTCCTGTGCATACTTCTCTTCTGTCGCTTTATCTTTAATTAATGGCTTCAAGTACATTTTTATCAAATCCTGGAGTACAAAAGATTATTTACATTTTTAAAAAGCATCCCATAATTTATGAAAAAAAATATATATAATTTAATTACTTTGAAAAAGACGATCTCATTCTTTTCTAAAGATTTTATCTCTCCATTGCCAAGTCGTTTATCCTCGATCCAACTGGGGTTCTTCATTTCATTTCTTCGTTTCTTCTTCACCACGGGATCGTAGTCGCCATCGTATTCATCATCGTCTTCATCACTGTAGTCAGGGGCGTCGTCTGAGTCGTCTGAGTAGTCGGGGACATCAGCCACGCCGGAGTTTGATACGCTTCTCTTCAGTTTTCGAGAAGATTTTCTCGATGGTTGGTCGTCACCGAAGACTGAAAAATAAAAACGTTATACTTGATGCAAAGTTTTGTAACGACAAAAAGTAAAACGGAATTGCTTGTTTTGTTCTTACCGCTGCCGTCGGTCATATCAATTAGAGACTGTCTCTTGCTCGATCTGGAGGAGGGTCTGGCAGGGTT